CAGATAAGGAGGCACAGAGTATTTTGGGGCAAGTTCTGCTAGAAGAAGATGGTGGACATGGCCAGAAGAGAAGATCAAGGCAAGGGCACCTTTAATAGCACAGCACTCAAGGAATACAACCACCAGAAGGCCCTCTCAATGAACCTCCAGGGCCATCAGAGGACTCCCAGCAGGAAATGGATGCATAGAAATGAGTACTAGGAAAATGGTGTTATAGATAAGAAAAACTTTTTAATGTATGGTTATAATGAATGAAAACACTATTGTAGTCTCACTACACACACAGAAATAAGGAGAGAACCTTCTGTGTGTCTTGCTGCCCAATATTAACTTGGTTACACAATTAGTTGGTGTTAGGAAAATTATTCTGATTTTGGTCTCACTCCTCATCCATGCCATGCCGTCCCGATGGGTTCCCAGTCCCTGGCCTCTCCCTGGCTGCAGGTGTGGCCTGTTGGGTTCTGCTGCTCTCCAGTGGGAGATTTGGGATTGGTGGCACCCAGAGCCCTCCTGCCCCCTCCAGCCCCTGTCTGCCTGATGCCTTGGGCTGGCTCCCTAGAACAGAGGCCAGAGCAGGTGAAGAGAATCAAAGGAGGCATTGATGAAAGGCCTTCAAAAGGTTCACCTTGGGCTCTCCAAGCCTCCGAGAGGGGCTGCACCCAAAACGGACAATGGTCATGAGGTTTTCAGGCAGATATAAGTTTGGTCCATTTACAAATCAGGGGTTAATCCTCCAATTTCATCTTCAGGTAATGAAGTTATTCAGCCCCAGTTGGCCCTACCCCGCTTCATTTTTGTCTATACTTTTCTGGACCTCAGGCAGTAGAGTGTCCTTGAATTTCATGCCTAGAGGGATTGTTTTGTCTGACCAAAATGTGCAGAGAGTTAACTATCACTTTCCATGGAGTTTAGAGTTATGCTCTAATGCTGTACAAGATATGAAAAATAGGAAGGCTAAAATCCTAAGGCATCATGCCCCTCTGGCATCCTCTAGAAATTCTCCCCAGGCTGCCTTCCCCTCCAGACAGCCCCGCTCCTCTCCTGCCCCACTCAGGAGTCCCAGCAGTGTTTGTGCTCCTCCTGGCAATTCCATGCTTCTCCAGCGCAATGAACAGCAGTGGAGCCATCCCTGTAGTGCCTCTTGTTTGTGTCCAAAGGAGGCTGGGGGGCTGGAGAGCAGGGATGGAGCTGGGGAGGGGCATCTCCAAGAGAAAGACGGCCCCAAAGCCTTCCGGGGCAGGCTGGGGTGAGCAGCCCGTGGGGAGGGGCTGGAGCCTGAGGCCCGGGGCTGGGAGGGATGGGAAGGACGNTGCTGGACAGAAGGGGAAGGATGCTCCCTGTGATCCCAACCCTCTCCTGCCATCCAGAGGCACCAGCCCTGCAGGGATTTGGGAAATCACTGCCACCCCGTAGTGCTGGGTGTGTCCCCAGGGATTAAGGTGTCCCATTCTTTGCAGGCAAGAGCTCCCTGAAAACACCATGGAACTCATCTGCTGAGCCAAAGGAGATGGAGTTCGTTCCTTTGGGCCGAGGCCATGAGGGTGATTCCATGGGGAATAGAGCTGGGGAACAGCACTGAGCCCAGCTGCACTGCTTGGAGTCATGTGGATCCAGGAGGGAGGAGGAAAGCCATGCTCCAGTGTGCTCCCTGCAGAGCATCCCACAAAAATCAGCCAAGGCAATGCCCCTGCTGTCTTCTCCTGCAGGAATACAGCACCACAGGGAGGGTGATCCAGTACGTATTGATTAATGAGGTGACCTATGGAATTCCTCAGTCCCTGTCCAAGGTCAGCAGAGCAGGGGGAGGGATCAACACATTCAGAACCCTGTGTCCCCGGTGGCATCATTCCTGTGAGTAGTGGTTTTTTTCTGCTCCTCAAAGACCCTCTGGCGGGAGAGCCGGAGGGACCCCACAGAGCAGGGCCTCCAGCACCTCCCCATCAACAAGTAGATGAAGGGTTTGATGCTGCTGTTCATGCAGGCGAGCAGGAAAACAACCTGGGAGGACACAGTGATATAACCGAGATCCTGCAGGAAATTCCAGAGGCTAAGGAGGAGAGTGAAGACCACAATGACGAAGATAACGATGTCGCGCCTCTCGGGCTGCTGCTGCTGGGAGCCCCACTTGGCCTTAATGAAATCAACGGGGCTGGAAACGAGCATGGGTGCAACAACGAGGAGCAGGATGAGGGTGTACACAGAGATGAAAGCTGCCCGGCAGTGCTCCTGCTGGTGTGATGGGCACAGCAATGTCACTGAGGGAATGACAGTGAAGAGAGCAAAGAACGCCCAGTATTGGATAGTGTCCACCACCCACATCAGGCGCAGAGGAGGGTCACAGCGGCAGCAGAGCTTTAAGAAGTTCCGCATATGTTGCATGCATGTGCCAACTGTCACCCGGTACAGTGCCCAGTAGCAGGAGAACACTGAAAGCTGAAAAACGAAGTTCATGTACATCAAAGGCAGGATAGGAGAGCAGGAGATGTCCTCCACCAGGATGAGGAGGGCAGACGGGACCGCAAAGAGGAGGAAGATGAAGTCAATGACAGCCAGGTCAAAGAAGCCAGCGTTCCTGATTTTCAGGCTGAGGAGGCCGATGACAGCCCCGTTCCCAGCCAGCCCACAGAGGCAAATGACCAGTGTCACACTGTGTATGGCCATGCTGGCGACATCTGTCTCACACAGATCATCTCCTTCAGTGGGTGAGGCAGGAGATGGGGACACGGTGGTCACCTCCATGGATGGATGCTGGGCAGGCAGTGGGATGTGGCCCTGGCTGTGGTCAGAGTGGATGGACAGTCAGTGCTTGGAGAATCCAGGGATGGACCATGTGGCTCCTCAGCAGCTCCCTGCAGTGGGAAGGATTCAGTGGGGAGGAGTGAGATGTGCAGGGGAGG